CGACGGCGACCGACCACGGCGACCAGATAACTACGAGGCCAAAGGGGACTTGGATGAATGAGAACCGAGGGAGGGGATGAAAGCGCATTGGTGGTGAATTTAAGGTGGTAGCACCGAAAAACCTCGGGGGCCTCGGGGCGGGGCAGGGGGCAGGGAGTGAGGATCAGGGCGTGGACCAGAAAAGGAGGGGGGCATGCGTGTAAGAGATTGGCAATCACAATTCCTGCCGCTGACCCGCAGGAACGGCCATGCTGATCGAGAGCCTCACGACCTCGCTCATCTGAGCCGTGGGCTTCAGCTGGCGATGCAAGAGCCATGCGTCCAGCAACGCGGCGGGATCAAAAGTCTGTTCTTTTAGAGCGGCCCCCCCAACTGGACCCCTCCGTGCTGGCTCTGGCGCTGGCTCTTCTGGCGGGCCTCCGTGAGGCCCAGGACCAAGACACTCCGCATCATCGTCGGAGCCCGCTGGAGCGATCTCGGGGGTACGGGTACCTATGACAAGGCCATCCCTTCCTACTTGGTTGAGCACCTCGGGCCCAGGGGGCCGTGGCTTGGGCGCCGTCACTCCCATCGCAGTGCACAAACCAACCGAAGAAATCAAATATCGAAGCCTGCCGTGAACAATCCGCAGCCCCAGAACTCGAAGCTTAAAAGGCCGTCGCGCCAATGATTCTGAATTATGGGTCCCTCCTCCTGGACCTCCTCCTCCTCCTCCTCCTCCTCCTTTCCCTCATCCACCCCTTGCCCCTCCTCCTACCTTCCTCCTGTCCGCCCCCCACCCCCTCGCCCTTCCCCCCCCCCCCCCCCCCCCCCCCCCCGCCTACACCCCCCCTCCCCCTCCCCTTCTCCTCGCCCCCTAACCGACCACCAGGGCCGCCCGGGCCGCCCAATCCCAGGTGTTCCAAGCGATGCCCGTTTCCCCCTGCCATCCCACCACGGGGGCGGCGTCAGCCACGTGGATATCATGAGCCCACGCCTCTGGCACGCGGACCGCACGAACTGTTTTTGCAGATAATTGCACGCCTAATGACTCAGCCAAATCGCCCGAGAGGGGAATGAACGAAACCGATTTCCAACACTTCAGCACAGTAGCGGCGACATCGACAGGGTTCTGCAAAGGAGCGTGGTCACACAAAGTCCAAACAACAACCTTTGCATCGTCAAGCTCCTCAACCTGATCACGGTACCAAATAACTTCGTGCGGAGCCTGGCCATCCGAAGGGAGATCGGTCACACAGAAATCAGACACGTTGCGGAATCCGCCAGACCTCCGTGACCGAGGCAACACAGCATATATGAAATTTCGTCAATCTTCCAACCGCCCCTCGTGATCCTTTTCGTCCCCCCCCCCTCACTGGCCCCCTTTCACCATTACCCCTCAGCCCTCGACCCCTGAAAAAACTACTGTTTGGATAGGTCGGCGGAGAATGGCGGCAACCTCTGTGGACGTAACTCTGCCCCAAATCTTGCGTTGGTTGCGGGGTCGCAAGGCGCCCCGCGATACCGATCCTGGCCAGGCCACCCCCAGGCCCAGGATCGGTGGCTATGAGCCCTTGGCCTATCCCATGGGGTCAAGGAGCGGCCTGGCCAAGATCGGTATCGGTTGATACCTGGCGACCCCGCACTGGTTGCGACCACTCGTGTATACCCACAACTCCTGGGGGAGCTGGCGGCGCCGACGTTTCTTAGCCTGCCCACACAAAGGGGCAGCCAAGACATGAACGTCGCCACCCACGACGTCTTCAAAACTGGACATCTGGCCCGAAACGGCTACGGAAAGCACACCACGTGAGCTGAACACTTGGGGGTTGCATTGTTTTCGAAGGGGGGGTGCGCCTCCTGCTCTTCCTCCTCGTCGTTCCTCCTCCTCCATGGCCTCTTCCTCTGTGTCGTTCCCTCCTCCTGGCCCTCCTCCTAACTACTCACGCTTCTCTTCCTCGCCGTCCCTTCCTCCCCCTCCCCCTCCTCCCCCTCCTCCTCCTCCTCATCATCATCATCATTATCATCATCATCCTTATCATCCTCCTCGTCCCTCCTCCCCCTCCTCTTCCTCCTCCTCCCCCTCCTTAACTTCCCACCCCGTTCCTTCTTCTCCGTCCCTCCTCCTCTTGCTCTCCTTATCCTACCTCTCCCCCCCCTTTCTCCTCCTTCTCCCTTTCCCTCTTCTTTTTCCTCATGTTCATCCTCCTCTCCCCCTCCTCCTCCTCCTCCTTCTCCTACTCCTGACCCTATACGTCCCCCTCTCTCGCTGCCGCCGCTCCCGCTCCTTGTCCCCCCATCCCTCCACCTCCTTATTTTTCCTCCTCTGCTTCCTCCTTCTCGTCATCCTCCATGGGGGCTCAGAGGCTCGACGGGGGCTCAGAGGCCCAGAAGCTATGGGGGCTCATAGTCCCTGCGCAAATCTCGCGGACGCGCGGATCATCGGCGTCGGACGTCGGAGACGGACGTAGCGGATGAACATGCAGAGAGCAAAGGGGGGGAGTTGGATAAGGACGAGGGGGGCGTGGAGGAGGAAAGATGAGGGCGGACAACTGATGTAATGAATGCTCGCAGGCAGAAGGAGGACGAAAGGGGGGAGGGAAGACGGAGGCGGAGGAGGGATAGGAGGAGGAGGATGAAAATTATCTTGGCAGATAACCCTACCAAATGGAGCTGTGAGTACCGAAAGTGTGAATACCTTCTTCGGCTGCGATCCCCGAGGGCCCACAGAACGCATGAAGGCTGTGTCGGTGCCTTCGGTGGAGGTCCTTGTGAGGCCACGAAACGTGTGAGGGGTGAGCCGAAATGGGCGCGGTGCGCGCATGCGAACGCAGCCGCTGGGGCCTTCGGTGGAGCTCCCTGTGGGGCCACGAAACGTGTGAGGGGTGTGCCGACATGGGCACGGTGGGCGCGTGCGAACGCAGCCATTGGGGCCTTCGGTGGAGCTCCCTGTGGGGCCACGAAACGTGTGAGGGGTGCGCCGACAGGTGTGCGGTGGGCGCACGCGAACGCAGCCGTTGGGGCCTTCGGTGCCCTATGGGGTCACGAGGCGTGTGAGGGGTGTGCCGAAATGGGTGCGGTGCGCGCATGCGAACCCAAACGCTCGAGCTTTCGGTGGAGCTCCCTGTGGGGTGACGAAACGTCCCAGGGGCATGCCGAAATGGGAGCGGTGTGCGCATGCGAACGCAGCCTCTGGAACCTTCGGTGGGGCTCCCTGTGGGGCCACGAAACGTGTGAAGGGTGCGCCGAAATGTGCGCGGTGGGCGCATGCGAGCGCAACCACTGGGGACTTCGGTGGGGCTCCCTGTGGGGCCACGCAACGTGTCAGGGGGGTGCCGACATGTGCGCGGTGTGCGCATGCGAACGCAGCTGTTGGGGCCTTCGGTGGAACCCCTTATGGGGCCACGAAACGTGTGAGGGGTGAGCCGAAATACGTGCGGCGGGCGCATGCGAACGCAGCCATTGGGGCCTTCGGTGGGGCTCCCTGTGGGGCCACGAAACGTGTGGGGAGTGTGCCGAAATGGGTTCGGTGGGCGCATGCGAACGCAGCAACTGGTGCATTCGGTGGGCCTCCCTGTGGGAACACAAAACGTGTGAGGGGTGTGTCGAAGAAGTGAATGCAGTGGGCGCATGCGAACGCAGCCACTGCGGCCTTCGGTGGAATTCCCTGTGGGGCCACGAAACGTGTGAGGGGTGCTCCGAAATGTGTGCGGTGGGCGCATGCGAACGCAGCCACTGCGGCCTTCGGTGGAGCTCCCTGTGGGGCCACGAAACGTGTGAGGGGTGCGCCGACATGTGCGCGGTGGGCGCATGCGAACGCAGCCGTTGGGGCTTTCGGTGCAGCCCCCTCTGTGGGGCCACGAACCGTGTGAGGGGGGTGCCGAAATGAGTGCGGCGCGCGCATGCGAACGCAGCCACTGGGCTTCGGCGGAGCTCCCTATGGGCCCACGAAACGTGTGAGGGGTGTGCCGAAATGGGTGCGGTGGGCGCACGCGAACGCAGCAACTGATGCATTCGGTGGAGCTCCCTGTGGGGCCACGAAACGCGTGAGGGCTGTGCCGAAATGGAGAGGAGAGGGGAGGAGAGAGGGCGGCTCTCCTGTTGGAGGAAGAGGGGGAGGAGGAGAGGATGAGGAGGAAGAAAGGAAGGAAGGAAGGAAGGAAGGAAGGAGGGAACGCGGCGGGGCGCTGTCTCTTCAAGGCGAGGACCCAACACCACAAGATGGTTGTGAACAAAAATTATGATGGCGGCGGGGGCCCATCAATTGTGATCCGCAAGCCCCGATCGGGGCCGCAAGCGCGTGAGCCTGCGATTGCCCTAACAGTTTGAGTTTCTCGAGGCACAATGCAAAAATATTCGGGTCATAACGCGCGCCTGGTCGCTTACAGTTTCGAAATGCGCTGGGGGCGTCGTGAGAAGCGACGAAGCGCGATCGCATCACTCGCGACGACATGCGTTTCGCTTCGCATGGCTGGGCGTTTGTCGCTTGGCGTGCTGTCAGCACGTGAGGAACGTGAGGCAGCGAGCAAGTGGTCTTCGCCAAAACGCGCAAATCCGCTACCCGCAGGTCGCTGACATCACGACAGAGCCAAATTTGGGCAAGCGCAGCGCGACGCCGCGACAGCCGCGATTTCATAGCACGAAAGACGCGTTCGTTGAGCCGTTGACCAAACACGCACGCTGATTTAACGCTATTGGGCCAGCGGCACCGAGGTGGATGCAGGCGGTATGTGGTTTTGTATGTCACTTGTGGCATTGCGGAAAGCGCATATCGAAAAAAACGGCGTTGTTGGATGATGCGTCCCACGCCAGTCACAGAACGCGGCAAATCTCTACGATTTCTTTGGCGGAAAACCAACTCGATAATCGTCGGTCTATGATCGTGCTAGGATTTGGAAGGCCTGCTCCGAACCTACCTTCTGGGGCGTCAACCGCGCCGAACCTACCTTCTGGGGGCCTGGCAACGACGACATTCAGCCCCCTACCATGTCCTCCCGCGGCCTGCCACCAGGGTGGAGCCCTCACTCCCACAGGCTGCGCTGGTCTCTCGACTTGTTCGTCAGGTTGCTGGGCCCTGGGCACTGCATCTTCAGGCGAGACCTGCCTCCTGCGCGTCCGCCCAGCATCTTGTTGGCGCCGCACTTGGTGCACGCCGCGATCTCCTGGGCATCCTCTCCTTCGCCCACGCAGGCGTAGCTGAGCACGTGCCCCAGGACGCAGAACGCGACCGCGGTGGCCGAGAGGGCTGCCGCGCTGCCCCCCGTCGAGCGGCTGTCTTCCAGGCGGGCCCGCACAGCTGGAGCGCCGCCGCCGCGGACCTCCCCAGCCCGCAGGGCCTCCGATGCCGCCGCTGAAGACGCCAAGTGGTTCTCTCTGGCAGGCAGGAGCCCTCCGCTGCTCGCGGCCCAGCCAATGACGTACTGCTCGCTGTAGCGTTCGCCGTCACCTCCACCTCGTGCTCGCCGCGGCGTCGCGTTCTCCTTGACTCCTGGCCACGGCCGCGCCTCGAGGAACATGGAGTTGGACGCGCCGCCGAGGTCCATGACCGTGTACCTCTCCAACTCGAGGTGCCTGTTGCCAATCCACTGGGCCTGCACCTCGTCGCGGACGGCCGAGGTATGGTTCACGCCCGTGGCGGCTCCCCCGCCACTGGCAGCCGCCCCTTCACGTCTCTGCGCTCGCGCCGTAGGCAGCTGTGGACTCGCACTCCTGGCCATCGCCTCAGGAGGTTCAGGTACCCCTGCTCTGCCCACGGGCTCGATCCACTCGCTAGCGCCGAACCCGATGCCCCCCAACTACGTTCTCTCCAGTGCTCAGGAGGATGCGGACACCGCTGGGCCCTGCAGCGCGTTCCTGGTCCCAGGGCGGGACGAGGACGCCCAGGCCGCGGAGCCCCGCCCAGCCGCTCCCGACGACCTCGGTGTCGTTCCCATGCAGGCACAGGACCGCCGCACAGGCCTCGCTACGCACTCGCTGGCCCTGGCTGCGCCCGCCCGAGGCGGTTCCCAGCGGCCTTGCCAGCAGGATGAGCAGCCAAGGGAGCCAGGTCCGCTGCCTCTGCCGCCAGCTCCCGCATGCACGACTGGGCCACCGTGGGCCACTCGCCCAGCGCTTTGCCGCACCGCTCGGCTTGGCCTCGCTCCGCTGCTGGCTGGGGCTGCCAGACGCCGCCGCAGTCTGCGAGACCGCCAACGTTGCCGCTGACCTCGTCCATGGGGCAGGACTCGGCCCACGGCGTGCGCTTGGAGGCCAGTGGTGCCCCCTCGAGCTGCGCCCGCACTGCCTCCATCTGGGCGCGAATAGCCGCCCAGGCCACCTCGAAGCTGCTGGTGCCCCACGCTTCTGGCAACTTCTCCAGCTGCATGAGGAATCCTGGTGCCTGGCTGGCTCCTGTCCACTCGGCTGCGCACTGGCGGCGCATCGCCTCGGCTTCCTCGCGGGCTGTTTCCTCGAGCGCCTGGGGCGCCAAGCTCGCCACCTCCAACTCCTCGTCGAGCTCCGCGAGCTTCTCCTGGGCCAGGTGGCCCTGGGCCTCGACGAGGTCGCGCGCCTCCTGCTTCTGCTCGAACTCCATGCGGGCTGCCTGGAGCCGCTTCTCGCCTTTGCTGATGGCGTCCGCCTCCCTGTGGGGCCGCGTCGCCCGTGGCAGGGACGAGGCCTTCTGCTCCGCTGCAGACTTTTGGGCCTTGACCAGCTCCCGCACGCTTCGCCTCCAGCTGGCTGGCCACGACGTCGGTGAAGCACCCATCCACTCCGTCTGGGGGCTCTGCTTGCAGCGCCCCGAGCTGCTCGACGGCCGCCTGGAGCCTCTCGATCGCCGTGGCGCCTCCACCTCTGGGCGTCCCACTCGCTGCCGAGGCCGAGGTCTGCGACTTGGTGGATGCTGCCCGCGTGGCCGCTCCGCGGGCCTGCCTCTGGGCACGGCGCCCACGTGGCTGATCCACCCAGCCGTCCTGGTCTGCCATAGGCCTCGCCGTGGGCGGGGGCGTCCCAGTCGCCCATGGCGGGGCCGCACACCCGCAGCCCAGGCAAGAGGTGCGCCAGTCCCAATTCCACTTGCCGCAGCTGCACATCCAGTAGGACTTGCTGCGCCTGCCGCTGCCGCCACTGCACGGGGACCTCGCCATGGCCACTGCCGCGCAGGCCGCGGGGCTGCGCCTCCGCGCGGTGAAAGCAGGGAGCACCCAAACGTATTGCACTGGCCCAAACCGCGGAGACCCTCGCGCTCAGAGCGCCGCGAACGACTCGCGGTCGTCGGGTTCTCCATGGCCTTGAGCCAAAATGGCTACGGATGTGATCCTGCGTGTTCTGGCGTGCTCCTATGTGTTCAGCCGTGCTCCTGCGCGTTATGCCGTTAGTTCTGCCGTGCACCTATGTGTTCTGCAATGTTCCTATGTGTATTGCCGCGCTCCTGTGTGTTCTGCCGCGCTCCTGCTTGTTCTGCTGCGCTCCTATGTGTTTTGTGTGTTCTGCCGCGCTCCTGCGCGTTAAAATAAATAAAAGTTAAAGACGGGGCCTTCAAGGCGCAAGGGGAAAACAAACAAAACGCGGACAGGGCCAGACGGGACCACAGTTCCCGAAAGAAGCCGAGTCCCAAAGCACAGCGAGCCACGCGTGCCTACTCGCCACAGGGAGCAACACACGCGAGCAGAACGATGCTTATTCTTCACTCACTCTAAGACGGCGGGCCGCGGCGCGCCAGACGGCGGCGGACCCTGCGGCTCACCTGGCCGTCGATCGCCGTGCTGTCCGCGGCGGCGAACCCCTCCTCGGTGGTCCCGCGCACGCCGAGGAGCCCAGCTCTCGCCGAGGCTGGCTGCTGCAGGGGCAGGCTGGCAGCCGCAACCTCCGCCGCCTGCACCGCCGCGGGAGCAGCTGGGCCACTGCCTGAGCTGCTGGCTGCGGCCGAGGCGCCACCTGCAGACTCGGCTTCGATGCCGGGCCACTCCAGGTAGCGCTCCTGGGCGTGTCCCGGCACTGGCCCTTGCGAACGCAGAGCGGGGATGCCCTCTCCCTTCACTCTCTGCTTGTCCGCTCGTGGCCTGCCTCCAGGACGGAGCCCTCGCCCCCACAGGCTGCGCTGGTTCCTGCCTGACTTGCTCGTCTTATCGCCTGGGCACCGTTCCTTCAGGCGAGGCTCGGCTCCCGCGTGGCTGCCCAGCACCTTGTAGGCCCCGCGCCTGGAGCAGGCCACGATCTCCTGGGCGCCCTCGCCTTCGCCCGCGCAGGCGTAGCAGAGCGCGTGCCCCAGGATGCTGAAGGCGACAGCAATGGCCGAGAGGGCGGTCGTGCTGCTCCCCGTCGAGCGGCTGCTCTACAGGCGTGGCCGCTTGGCGGGAGCGCCAACGCCGAGGGCCGCTCCAGCCAACGGAGGCTCCTCGGCCGTAGCGGCCTGCACCTGGTGTTGCTCGCCTGCAGGAGGGAGCCCTTCGCTATCCTTGGCTGAGCCATCGAGGTACAGCTTGCCGTTGAGCCTGCCGTCAACTGGCTTGCGAGTCCTCCAGATACGCATCGTCCAGTGCGTGTTGGAGATGTGGCCACCACGCACGTGCTGCCCCCTCACGCACAGCACGATACCTGGCCCGAGCAGCTGCCCGATGGCGCCCCTGAGCGCCGGCCGAAGCAAGAGGGGGTCGCTGCTGAGCTTCCGCCTCTCATGGCGGTTGGAGGCCTGCCGAGCATCAGAACCATCCTTCATGCTCAGCGCCCGAGGCCCGAGGAACATGGGATCGAACTCGTCACCGAGGTCCGCGACCGAACCGCGCCAGGGGCCGCACCAACGCGTCGGTGGGCGAGGCACAGCGCTCCCCAGTGGCGGCACTAGCGCGCCTGGCTGCTGCAGCCTCCAGCCCCCGGGCACACATCCTGAGCGGCAGCTCCGCTGACTGCAGCAGGTCCGCCATCACTGCCGTCGCCTCGGGATGCCTGGGTACGCCTGCTTGGCCAATGAGGTCGCTCCACTCGCTGGTGCCGAACTCGAGGGCCCCGACCTCGTCCTTCTCGCAGGCCGCTGCGGTGGCTGCCTCCGCATCGGCCAGGACACGCGCCACCTGCCGAACATACCAGGCCTCGTGCGAGGGCTGCCAGCGCCGCGTCCTGTCAGCTGTGGGCCTCTGCAGCGCTACATCGAGGGCCTGGCGCATGGCGTGGGTGAGGGCCGAGTGTCGGTGGAGGTTCAGGTCCCTGGCCTGCCGAGCGGCCAAGCCCACCCCCAGGTCCTGCGCCCGAGGCTCGAGGGTCATAGGATCGAAGTCGCCGCCGTGCTCCGCGACCCAGTACTGCTCCGACTTGAAGTGCCAGTCGATCCGCACCAGGGATCGTCCCGTCACCCCTGTGGGCGAGGCCCCGAAGTCCTCCAGCCCTCCTCTGGTGCCCCGTGCCGCCGCCGCTGTCCGCCCTGGTGCTGGCGGGGCGGGCGCTTCCCCGAGGGCGTTGGGCTGCTTGGTGCCCAGGCGGGCCACCTCGGCGCTGCTGCCGCCAAGCTGGCGTGGCCCCGCAGCGCTGGCCTCACTAGGCACTCGCCTGCTCTGGCGGGGCTCCTCCGCCCCTGCTCCCAGCAGCGTGGCCAGCAGGACGAGCAGCCAAAGGGGCCAGGTCCGCAGCCTCGGCTGCCAGCCCCCGCTTGCAAGCCTGCGCCACCTGCGGCCACTCGCCAAGCGCGTTGCCATACCGTTCAGCTTGGCTGCGCTCCGCTGCGGCCTGGGGCTGCCAGGGGCTGCAGATGCCTGCGAGGTTGCCGTCGTCGCTGCTGATCTCGTCCATGGGGCGGGACTCTGCCCGCGGTGCTTGCGTGGGGCCCAGGGGGGGGGGCCCAGCGAGCTGCGCTCGCATCGCCTCCATCTGGGCGCGGACGGCTGCCCATGCGACCTCGAAATTGCCCATGCGCTCCTGTGTGTTCTGCCATGTTCTTGCGTGGTCTGCCGCGTTCCTGCTTGCTCTGTCGTGCTTTGCCGTGCTCCTCCTGTTCCTGAGCGGTCTGCCGTGTTCCTGTGTGTTTTGCCGTGCTCTTGCGTGTTGTGCCGTGTTCCTGTGCGCTCGGTGTGTTAAAGTTAAAGTTTACGACGGGGCCTGCAAAACAAAAGGAAAAAAAACAACGGACAGGGCCAGACGGGACCCGAGTTCCCGAGAGACGCCGAGTCCCAAGGCACCGAGGGCAGCGGAAGCCTGCTCCCAAATGGAGCAGTAAGCGCGAGCCACAGCGATGCCACCTCTCACTCACTCACTCACGGACAGGCCGCCACGGCGCGCCACGCGGCGTCGTACCCTGCGGCCCTCCAGGGCTCCGCCCGCAGGGCCAACCGCGGCGGCGAGCTCCTCCTCGACGACCCCGATCCCGCCGAGGCCCCCCTCACTCGCTGCAGCAGGGCGCCGCTTGGGCAAGCTGGCGACAGCCGCCGCGGCGGCCGCGTCCGAGGGGCCTCCTCCTGGGCCCGCAGCCACTCGCGGCTCCGCAGCTGCCGCTGGGGCGCTGCCTGCACTGCCCACCGAGGCCGAGGGGTCTGCAGCTGGCTCCGCTGCAGTGCCGAACCACTCCAGGTACCGCTCCTGCGCTTGCACTGGCACTGGACCCTGCGACCCAACGTAGGGATGCCCTCTCCTTTTAACTCTGTGCCTGGCAGCTCGTGACCCCTCCTGTCTCCTGCCTCCAGGATGGGGTCCTCGTAGCCACAGGCTGCGCTGGTTCCTGCCGCCCCTGTCGGTCTTGTCGCCTGGGCACCGCTCCTTGAGGCGAGGCTTAACCCCTGAGCGGCCGCCCAGCGTCATGTAGGCGTCACACTTAGAGCACGCCACGAGCTCCTGCGTGTCCTCACCTTCTCCAGCGCAGGCGTAGGACAGAGCATGTCCCAGGATGCTGAAGGCTACTGCTCTGGCCGAAAGGGCTGCCGAGCAGTTGCCTGTCGAGCGGGCGCTCTCCAGGCGCGGCCGCTCGGCCGAAGGCCACTCGCCTCTGGCCTCCTCCGCCGCCTGAGCCCTCTCAGCGCCAGCCACGCGGGCCTGGCGCCGCTCGGTAGCAGGAGGGGGCCCTTCGCCGCCACAGGCCTCGATGCCTTGCCCGAGGAAGACGGACCATCAGATCCAGCGCCCGAGTTCCTGCACGCACCCTGCCTGCGCTTGGTGCTCGCCAACGGCCCGCTTGTACACTGCATGCGTCTGGGCCCTCCTCACGGCAAGGCGGCCTGCGTGCTCGTTGCCGCGCCTCTGGGCCTCCGTCAGGCGCCCGTCGGGCACTGCATGCCTCGAACCGCCGATGTTGACCTCTCCACCGCTGGCCTTGCGAGGGTGGAGGGCATCCAGGCCACTTCGCCCTCGCCGCCATTGGCCGTCCGCTGCGGGCCGCTGTCGCGCCCGACCGCACCGTAGACCTCTGCCACCAGGTTGCCGTCGCCGTCGCGGTGCGCTGTGGCTCCGCCCCCACAGCGCCAGGCGCCGAACAGCGGCTCCAGCTTCGCGTCGTCGAGGGACAGCTTGCCGTTGAGCTTCACATCGTACTGCCTGCGGACACAACCCGCCCCCATGGCGTCGGGGCGGCGGCCCTGCGGCGGCCAATCCGCAGGCAGCCAGCGGCCTCTGCCGCGCCGCTGGGCCTCGTGCGCAAGGCCGCCGCGCTGGCGGTGCCACAAGGTGCCTCTCTCAGCTCCGCAGCAGCGTGCTTGCCCCTGTTCCCGCGCAACGAGGGGCCTGGCCTGCGCCCAGTGCGTGTCGGAGATGTGGCCCCCCAGCAGGCAGGTGCCGCGGCAAGGTTCCCGCGTCTCGTGACGAGAGGGCGCCCTTCGAGCGCCTGGGGCAGCCTCCCATCCCAGCTCCTGAGGCCCGAGGTACCTGAGGTCGAGCTCGTCACCGAGGCCCACGATCATGCACCGCTCAGACTTGAAGTGCCAGTCGATCCTCGGACGGGTCAGCATCTCCGCGTCGGAGGGGGAGGCGCAGCGTTTCCATGGCCCGTCAGTTCTGGCGCGCCTGGTCTCCGCCGCCTCCAGCCCCCGCTCCATCCTCTTAGGCGGCAGCTCGCCTACCTGCAGCAGGCCTGCCTTCATCTGGACTACGTGGCCAGCCCTGAGGGCTGCAGAGTCCAGGATACGCCTCCTCCTGAGCTCGGCATACCGCATGCGCAGCCCTCGCACTGCGCCCATGGAAAGCGCCCATGCGCTGCAACTGGCCGTCAGCCGCCAACTGCGCAGCTCGCCGTCCGCGTTGGCCGCGACCGTGCGCCCGCACCCCCCGCTGGCCGCAGGCCCAGCCTTGTGGATCGGGTCCAGCGTGCGCGCTCGACGAAACACTCCTGCAGCACGGACTCGCCCCTCATGTGCTCCCCACTTCGCGCTGGCGGGGTCCGAGCCGAGGTTCCTGGCCTGCAAGGTCTCGCAGGGGGTCCCGCCCTGCGACTTCCCGCACACCCCGAGCTGTCCACCTGGCCTGGGGCCCGGAGCTAGGAAGGTCGTCTTGGCAGCACAGAGGGGCAGGTGCTGACCACGGAGGCGGCGTACCGCTCCCAGCACTGCTCAGCCGACCCACGCGGCCACCAGTTGCTCCGCGCCCTCGGCCTGCAGCGCGATATCGCCGTCGACGCAGCGGGCTACACCCAGCGGCCTGCCGCCCGCTGGGGCGGCATGGAAGGTTGCCAGCCCAGGCGGCTTGGCCACAGTGAGGCTACACGTCCACCTCGCCAATCCTGTCCCGTTGGTGCTGCACGTCTCGGAGGCCATGCCCACGACGGGAACGAACCGCGGTCTCTGGTAGAGCACCAAGTCGCCGAAGGCAGCGAAGCTGCCGAGGTTGAAGCCTATAGGTCCCAGGGCGCCACGGAGGTACAGCAAGCATGCCGGCAGCTGCAGGTCTGACGCAGCGGGCATTGTGACTCCACTCCAGCCCTGCCTCCAGCCTGCGACGCCGCCTGAGCTCGCCAGCGGGCCCTCCTTGTCCGTGGGCGTCGACGCGCTGAGGAACGCCATAGGGCCCATGCGCCGCACTGCTCCTCTGGCCTCCGCCAGGCGGTGCTGAGCCAGTCGGGGCTCCTGATGCACAACAAGGCGCGGCGGGTCCCCGCTGCGCGGACCCGAGGCCTGTGTTCGGGGTGTTCTGCCGTGCACCTGCGTGTTAAAGTTAAAATTAAAGACGGGGCCTGCAAGGCAAAGTGCAAGCACACGGACAGGGCCAGACGGGACCCGCGTTCCCGAGAGACGCCGAGTCCCAAAAGGCACCGAGGGCGGCGGAAGCCTGCTCCCAGGCGGAGCAGCAGGCGCGAGCCACAGCGATGCCACCTTTCACTCACTCACTCGCGGACAGGCCGCCACGGCGATCCACTCGGCGGCGTACCCTGCGGCCTTCCAGGGCTCCGCCCTCAGTGCCAGCCGCGGCGGCGAGCCCCTCATCGGCGACCCCGAACGCGCCGAGGTTCCCCACTCTCGCCGCAGCTGGGCGCCGCTTGGGCGGGCTGGCGGCGGCCGCGGCACCGGCCGCACCCGAGGGGCCTCCTCCTGGGTCCGCAGCCACGCGCAGCTCCGCAGCTGCCGCTGGGGCGCTGCCTGCACTGCTCGCCGTGGCCGAGGGGTCTGCCGCTGGCTCCGCTGCCGTGCCGAGCCACTCCAGGCACCGCTCCTGCGCGTGCTCTGGCACTGGACCCTGCGAACGCAGCGTGGGGATGCCCTCTCCTTTCGCTCTGCGCCTGGCAGCTCGTGACCCCTCTGGCCCCCTGCCTCCAGGATCGAGTCCACGTAGCCACAGGCTGCGCTGGTTCCTGTCGCCCTTGTCGGTCTTGTCGCCTGAGCACCGCTCCTTGAGGCGAGGCTTAACCCCCGAGCGGCCGTCCAGCGTCATGTAGGCGCCACACTTGGAGCACGCCACGAGCTCCTGGGTGTCCTCACCTTTTTCAGCACAGGCGTAGGACAGGGCATGTCCCAGGATGCTGAAGGCTACTGCACTGGCCGAAAAGGCTGCCGAGCTGTTGCCTGTCGAGCGGGTGCTCTCCAGCCGTGGCCGCTCGGCCGACGGCCCCTCGCCCTTGGCCTCCTCCGCTGCCTGAGACCTCCCGGCGTCCGCGAAACGCGCCTGGCGCCGCTCGGCAGCATGAGGGAGCCCTTCGCCGTCCCAGGCCTCGATGCCTTGCCCGAGGATGACGGCGCACCAGATCCAGCGCCCGAAATCCTGCACGAACCCGGCCTGCGCCTGGTGCACGCCAACGGTCGGCGTGTCCACTGCATGCATCTGGGCCCTCCTCAAGGCAAGGCGGTCGGCGTGCTCGATGCCTCGCCTCTGGGCCTCCGTCAGGCGCCCGTCGAGCACTGCACGCCTAGAACAGGTCGACGCTGACCTCCTCCACTGCTGGCCTAGCGAGGGTGGCGAGCAACCACGCCTCCACGTCCTCGCCGTCCTTGGCCGCCCGCTGCGGGCAGCGGTCGCGCCCGTCTGCCCCGTAGACCTCTGCCCCCAGGTTGCCGCCGCCGTCGCGGTGCACAATGGCTCCGCCCTCCCAGCGCAAGTCGCCGAACAGCGGCTCGAGCGTCGCGCCGTCGAGGTACAGCTTGCCGTTGAGCTTCTCATCGGGCGGCCTGCGGAAACAACGCACCCCCGCGGCGTCGGTGCGGCGACCCTGCGGTGGCCTGTGCGCAGGCAGCCAGCTGCCTCTGCCGTACCACTGGGCCTCGTGAACAGGGCTGCCGTGCTGGCGGTGCCACGACGTGCCTCTCTCTGCTCCGCTGCAGCGTGCTTGCCCCTGTTCCCGTGCATCGAGGAGCCTGGCCTGCGTCCAGCGCGGGTTGGAGATGCAGGCCCCCAGCAGGTAGGTGTCGTGGCTGAGCTTCCGCATCTCGTGACGAAGGGGTGCCCTTCGAGCGCCTGGGCCAGCCCCCCAGCTGAGCTCCTGGGGCCCGCGGTGCATGAGGTCGAGCTCGTCGCCGAGGTCCGCGACCATGCACTGCTCAGGCTTGAAGCGCCAGCCGATCCACGCACGGGTCAGCTTTCCCGCGTCGAGGGGGCGGGCGCAATGCTTCCATGGCGCGCCAGGTTTTGCGCGCCTGGTCCCCGCCGCCTCCAGCCCCCGCTCCATCAGCATAGGCGGCAGCTCGCCTGCCAGCAGCAGGCCCGCCATCACTTGGACTGCGTGGCCTGCCCTGAGAGCTGCAGGGTCCAGGTTACGCCTCCTCCTGAGCTCGCCACAGCGCATGCGCAGCCCTCGCTCTGCGCCCATGGGGAGCGCTCCTGCGCTGCGACAGGCCGCAAGCCTCCAACCGTGCAGCTCGCCGTCCGCGTTGTCCGTGACCGCGCGCCCGCTCACACTGCTGGCCGCTGGCCCAGCCTGGTGGATCGGGCCCAGCCTGCGCGCTCGGCGACGCGCTCCTGCAGCTCGGACTCTGCCCCCATGTGCCCCCCCCCCCCCCCCCCCCCCCTCGTGCTGGCGGGGTCCGAGCCTACGTTCCTGGCCAGCAAGGTCTCGCGGAGGGTCCAGCCTAGCGACTCCCCGCGCGCCCCGAGCTGGCGCCCTGGGCTGGGGCGAGGCAGGGCGTCTTGGCAGCGCTGAGGGCCAGGTGCTGACCGCGGAGGCGGCGCACCACTTGCAGCCCTGCTCTGTCGAACCTCGCGGCCACCAGCTGCTCCGTGCCCACGGCCTGCAGCGGGATGTCGCCGTCGACGTAGCGAGCCACACCCAGCGGCCTGCCGCCCGCTGGGGCGGCGCGGAGGGCTGCCAAGCCCAGGCGGCTCGGCTACAGTGAGGCTACTCGCGCACCCCGCCAGACCTGTCCCGTTGGCGCTGAACGTCTCGGTGGCCAGGCCCACGACGGAAATGAACCGCGGTCTCTGGTAGAGCACCGTGTCGCCGAAGGCAGCGAGGTTGTCGCGGTCGAAGCCTTTGGGCCCCAGCGAGCATGCCAGCAGCTGCAGGCTTGACGCAGTGGACACTGTGACCCCACACAAGCTCTGCCTGCAGCCTGCGACGCCGCCTGAGTTCGCCAGCTGGCCCTCCTTGTTCGTGGGCGCCGACGCGTGGAGGAACGCCGTAGAGCCCATGCTCCGCTCTGCTCCTCTGGCTTCCCCCAGGCGGTGTGGAGCCAGGCGGGTCGCCTGGGGCCCTACAAAGCGCGGCGGGGCTCCGCTGCGCGAGCCCGAGGCCCCGGCCCCCTCCAGGCTCCGCACCCCTACGTTGCCGTTGGCCCCGAACTCCTCCAGCCCGCAGCGGACATCCTGAGCTGCCGCCCCAGACTGGCCAGGCGCCGGCGGGGCCTGCGCACTCCCGAGGTCGAGGGGCCGCGTGCCTCCGAAGCGGGCCGCTTCAGCGCCGCCGCCCTCCTGCTGCCTATGCAAAGCGTCTCTGGCGTGGCTACGCGCAAGGCAGCTGTGGCCTCTCGCCTCCGCCGCGACTCCCAGCGGCGCGGCGAGCAGGGCGAGCAGCAAGAAGGGCCAGGTCCTCAGCCTCGGCCGCCAGCTCCCGCTTGCACGCCTGGGCGACCTTCGGCCACTCACCGCGGGCGTCGCCGCGTCGTTCGGCCTGGCCACGCTCCGCGGCACACTGCGGCTGCCAGGGCCTGCGGCCTCCTGCGTGGTCGCCGCCCTCGCTGCTGATCTCGCCCATGGGGCGCGACTCCGCCCAGGGCGCTCTCCTCGGGGCGGCAGGGGCCTCGGCAAGCTGCGCGCGCACTGCCTCCACCTGGGAGCGAATGGCCGCCCACGCCACTTCGAAGTTGCTGGAGCCCCAAGCCTCGGGCAGCTTGTCCAGCTGCATGGAGAGCCCTGGGACCTGGCTGGCCCCTGCCCACTCGGCCGCGCGCTGGCGCAGCTGCGCCGCGGCCTCCACTCTGGCCTCCTCCTCGAGGGCGTGGAGCGCACGGCTGGCGAGCTGCGCCAGCTTCTCCTGGGCCTTCTGCAGCTGGGCCTCCACGAGTCCCTGAGCCTCTTGCTTCTGCTCCAGGCTCTGGCGCGCTGCTCGGAGGCGCTTCTCCGCCTTGCTGATGGCGTTCGCCTCCTTGTGGGGCATCGTCGACAGCGGCATGGAGGGCGCCTTCTGCTCCGCTGCGGCCCGCTGGGCCTCTGCCAGCTCGGCGCGATTGGCCTCCAGCTGGCTGGCGACGACGTCGGTGAAGCAACAGTCGACTCCGTCGGGTGGCTCCGCCTGCAGCGCCTCCAGCTGCTCGACCGCCACTTGCAGCCTCTCGATCGCTGTGGCGCCGCTGCCGCTGGGCGTCCCACTGGCGCCCGACGCCGAGGTCTGCGACTTGGAGGTTGGCGCACTCGTTGCCGCACTACGGGCCTGCCGCTGCGCACGGCGCCCGCGCGGCTGATCCACCCAGCCGTCCTTGTCCGCCTGGGGCTTGGCCTTGGCAGCGGCATCCAGCGCCCAGGGCGGGGCCGCGTACCCACAGCCAAGGCACGTGGTGCGCCAGTCCCAGTTCCATCCACCACAGCTGCACATCCACTACGTCCTGCTGCGCCTGCCTCCGCTGCCGCCACCCCGCGAGGGCCGCGCCATGGCCCAGGCCACGTGGGCTGACAGGATGCGCCTCCGCGCTGCGTATGCAGGGAGCAAAACAAATACTTGCACTGGCCCAAAGCGAGGAGCCCTTCGCGCTCGGAACGCCGCGGACGACTCGCGGTCGTCGGGTGCCCCATGGCCTTGAGCCAAAATGGCTACGGATGTGCACCTGCGTGTTCTGCCGTGCTCCTGTGTGTTCTGCCGTGTTCCTATGTATTCTGCCTGGTCTGCTGTGTTCCTCATGCTTCTGTGTGTTTTGCCGTGCTAATTTGTGGTTTGTTGTGCTCCTGTTTGGTTTGCCGTGCCCTCGTATTTTGTGAATTCAGCCGTGCTCCTGTGTGGTTTGCCGCGCGTTCGCGCGTTCTTCCGTGTTCATGCGCGTCGGGCTGCCGTGTTCACTCCCATGGTCTGAAGATGTCTTCGGCGAAAAACTCAATTTTAACACGCATGGTCGTAACGCCGCCTTTTCAACATCCCACGTTTTCGAAGATGTCCTCGGCGATGTCCCCATGCCCATACGCATGTTTAATTGGCGGCTTGTATTTTCGGGTGGATGTCTCAGGCGGCATGCGTGTGTTTGTGAAAGACGGCGTTGCGAACAACTCATGATGGTGAGGACGTCTCGAGCGAATTGCTGGATGTGAGGAGTATCGAGGCCGCTCTTGGGGACGTCGTTTGGGGCTCGTTTGGGGCTGCCTCGACGCCATCAAAAAAAAATGCCAATGCGATGTCACACACATCTTTTGATTGAGGGTGTCCCTCGCGAAATCGCCATTAGTTGATGCCTGCCTTGGGTCGTCTGGAAGCCGTGTCAAGAGCGAGCCCGAGACGATGTTAGAACGGCAGTTTTCAAAACGATGCTGATGTTCCCCATGTTTCGAGGATGTCCCTAGCGAAATCATCATTTCCGGCAGTCATCAGGGAGCCGTTGGGGCTCTCAGTTCTTCCTCATGAATCCTGGGCAATCCTGTGCACACGCTCGCACTGAAGGCAATCAGTGGCGCCTGCTTGCGCAGACGCGGCACATTCAATGAAGCTGCGCTGCACTGTGCCATCGTGGCCTTTCTTATCGTCCATCATAAGCGAATTTTGGAACACACGTGCATCGGCGACCGGCGCAAACACAAGCGGAAGGCAAAGATGGACGCACGAATGCTCGAACAAGATAACACGATATCTATTCCGCCGCTGGCTCGCAAAAGCGGGTTGAACTAGGGAAACGTAGGCAACTTGATCACTGCAACGCTATACGCCGATGTGGTTCAGAACCCTGCGTCGACAGCCCAAGCCCACAAGAGCAGAAAACAGATTGCACTGCCTGGGCGACTGGTTTCGGAGCTCTTCAAGCGTGCGCTCCAGAACGTGAGTGTGAGCTGCAATATTGTGTTGTTGTTGCACCACTGCGTTCAAAGTAGGCAAGCCACCGAACGTCAAAAAACCAGTGCTTCCCGCCACCGCCCCTCGCCAGGGATCCAAAACCGTGTTCTCGTATTCCACGCAGCGCAGTTTATGTCAGGCAACTATTGCATCGCAGAGATTATAATCACATTGGTTGAACGGCATCGGTTGCACCGCATCGATTGCACCGCATAGGTTGCATCGTTTAGATCGCGCGCGCAGCATTGATTGCACCGCGTAGATCGCATCGCATATAGCACAGCGGCTAGATTACACCGCCTGCGTTGCACCGCATGGATTGTCCTTTCCAACAAAAAAAATTGGTTCTACCACCCTCCCACCCCCACAGATTAACTAATCACATTTTTCCGTATTGCCATTTACCAGCGATTCTTCCCCATCGTCCATACGACCTGCGAACGCATGCTATCCTAGCTAGGCTGGTATCCACCCCCGCCACCCTCTGCAAAAAAACTATGCGCGCACACGCGTTTAGCAAAAATCATGAATTTGCCCGGGCCCATTGCAAAACAAAAAAAAAGTGCACACGCGCGCGTCGTCGCGCGCGCACGCCGGAATCCGTCAAAAAACCATAGGTTTCGGGAAGACTTCGAAATCGAGTGCCCAAAACACATATTAAACAACACAAGGCTTCGCAACACAGATTCACGGAACAAGAGAAAACATGCGCGCGCTCTTGAGAATTCTTAAGCAAACCAACGGATGTTCAGAACATACTACCAAACGGGCTTCGCGCGCGCATGTCGAAATCGTTCGAACGCCCTGGCGCGCATGCCGTCGCGAAAAGCCTCTGCAACAAACGAAACGAAGTGTACGAGCGCCCGTCGTCGCGAGCGCATGCCGAAGTCATTCAAACACCTTCGGTTTCGGAAAGATTCCAAAATTGAGCGTCCAAAACACATACAAGACTGCATGTTTTCGCAAAGCGGATGTTCAACAAAAGCGCGCGCGCGCTCTTGCAAATTCGGAAAATAACCATAAGTTGTTCAACCGGCTCATCAAATGCGACCAAACGAACTTAGCGCGCGCGTGTCGAAATCGTTCGAACGCCCTTGCGCGCGTGCTGGGGTGGCACGATTCGTGTCAAATAGTACCATGCTGGCCACTCTCGCGCGTCTGCCGCGCGCTCATTTCGAATTCCTTCCAAAACCGTCACCACCGACGCGACGACGCCGTCATCGTAGTCGGCGTGATCGGCATCGGCGCCATCAGTGGCCGTGCCATCGTCGCTGCCAGCATCGTCACCAACATCGCTACTATCATCATCATCGTGTCTACAACTGTCGACGTTGCCATGACGCCGCGCCTGCTCACGTCGCCGACTCGCACTCAACTGCCCGTTGGGATGCGCCGAGCGGTCAGCACCAACGCGCCCGCGCCGGTCGCGCCAAACTACGTGGCCGCTGCGCGCGCGCCTGCGCGGGCTGGCGCGGCCGCGAAGATGCACCAGCCAGCGTCAAGCACTCATCGCAATCGCCGCCGCATGGCGTTTGCAAACCAAGTTGCGGGTGGGCGCGTGCAGTGGAGTGGACAACTCACTGCGGAGAGGAACTAATTGTACAGCATAGAGCGCACCACACGGACTGCGCCGCAAAGGTTGCAGTACATAGACTGCGCCACGTAGATTGCAACACAGAGTGGGCACCACATAGAATTACACCACCTAGATTCGTCATTTATCTCCCATCACATGGGCAACACCACAGAAGTTACATCACGTAGTTCACACCACATAATTTAGACCACATTGATTGCGCCACAAGGTTGAGTATTTCAGCTCCTACCACAGATGTTGCACCACATAGCTCACGTCTCGCACGTCTCGTCGATTACACCACATAGGCTGCACAACCTTGATGAGTAAGTTCATTCCTACCACATAGGTTGTACGATTTACTTCACACCACGTAGTTCACACAGCATATATTGCGCAACGTGGATGAATATTTTAGTTCCTACCACGTAGGTTGCACGACATAGCTCACATCACGTAGCTCACACCACATAGCTTCCCCTTCCCCTACAACAAATTAGAGTCCACCCCCATCACCCCCCGGCGTTATCCGCTACACGCTTCGATTGGGAATTCATGTGAGGCCGCGACCCTTCGCTAACTATCCCAATGATTTCATACCATACCAGCAGGGCATCCGGTATCGACCCACCCCACCCCACCATCTTCCGCAAATGCGCGCACACTGGTTGATCACTAAGCATAAGTCTCCAAGAGCCCCTTTGCAACAAATTAGACGAAGTGCACGCGCGCGTCCTCGCGCGAGCATGCCGAAACCCTTCAAAAATATTGGTTTCGGACGGACTTCGAAATTGAGTGTCTGGAACACATGCAAAAGCGCACGGTTTCAAAACGCTGGTTTTCAAAAAAAAAAAAAAAAAAAAAACTTAAACAAACAAAAAAAAACGCGCGCGCGCGCGCCATTGCGAATTTGTAGGAAAAAGATGCTTCTTGTTCAAACTTTTCCAGAACATACTAACATACGGGCTTCGCGCGCACGCATGTCGGAATCGTTCGAACGCCCTGGCGAGCCTGCCGTCGCGAAAATCCTCTTCAAAACATGAAACGAAGTGTGCGAGCGCGCGTCGTCGCGCGCGCATGCCGAAATCATTCAAAGACCTTCGGTTTCGGACGGACTTCAAACCTGAGCGCCCAATACATATACAAGAACGCATATTTTCGCAAAACGGATGTTCAGCAAAAGCGCGCGCGCGCTCTTGCGAACTCGGAAGAAAAACATCAAGTTTTCAACATGTTGGTAAAATGATACCAAACGGGCTTCGCGCCTGCATGTCGAAATCGTTCGAACGCCATTGCGCGCGCGCTGAGGTGGCACGATTCGTGTCGAATAACACCATGCGAGCCACTCTCGCGCGTCTGCCGCGCGCGCATTTCGAATTCCTTCCAAAATCCTCATCACCGACGCGAAGACGCCGTCATCGTCGCCCGCGTGATTGGCATCGGCGCCGTCACTGGCCGTGCCGTCGTCGCTGCCATCGTCACCAACATCGCTACTATCAGCATCGTGTCTACAATCGTCGCGGATGCCATGATACCACGCCGGCCCAAGTCGCCGACTCGCACTCAAGTGCCCGTTGGGATGCGCCGAGCGGTCAGCACCACCGCGGCCGCGTCGGTCGCGCCAAACTGCCTGGCCGCTGCGCGCGCGCATGCGCGGGCTGGCGCGGCCGCAAAGATGCACCAGCCAGCGCCAAGCACGCATCGCAATCGCCGCCGCAGGAATTTTACAAACCAAGTTGCGGGTGGGTGGGTGGGATGTTTGCGCGAGCAGTGGAGTAAACAACTCACTGCGGACAGGAATTAATTGCACCACATAGATACCACCACCTAGCCTGCATCACGCAGAGTGCACCACATAGACTGAAAGAACTTGCTGTTTGGGGTCCACGCTGGCATACAAGTCCCAAGCCAGCACGAGCATGCACACCGCCGCGGGCCAGCCCCCGTGACAAGCCGAGGAAACTTGAGAGACGCCGAACTTGAAGGA